CAATATCCTCTACGAGCATTTATGTGCAAGAGTTCTAGTCACCCAACTTTCCATAAGGTGATGAAGGACTAATAGTTGAATTTTTTCACATTTATATGAGTAAGCTCAACCATGTCATTGAATTTCAGTTAGCCTTCCTTCCTAAAAAGGTATTCTCACTCTTGCATCACTTAGAGTGCTTTTTCAGGATCTACTGCTAGTTTAGAAACCTACTTATTTTGAATAAGTAATATGGTCGATTTTACTAGCAAATACAAACGTGTTTAATTGTCACTCCCACTATAAAAGTTGATAAGGAAGAGGCCTGACTAGACTAAAAAATACCGTATTTTCTGTGACCAATTGGAATCTGTGTCAATGTAGCGTAGGAATAAAATGTTAAGATAATACGCTGATATAACTGGGTTTGATTCACGTTGGGGGTACTGATGAGATCCAGGCGAGGTCGAAACTGCCGTCCAGCCTGATGAAAGACTTTTTAGGAGATAAGGCTAAGCGAAATTCAATGTAAGTGAGGCCTACACGTATCATTGGGTGAAAACTGAATCATTAATCCGTCATCACTTTATGCAACCTAAGGTAAATACAGACCTTAGATCGATCTCGAACACTTATAGTTTACAAATTTGCCTGATATTAAATGACCCTTTCTTAATTTCGGCGAAGCAGGATCCCAGTTTATCAACTCGGAAGGCAATTTGTTTACAATTGCTGGGGATACACTAAATAGCTAAATTAAAAATATTCTGGACATTGGTTTAGAGGATGACAATTATGAATCCTCAAAGCAACTCAAGGGCCTTCTTCTCTACTAAATTTGTCTGCTACCAATAAAAAGCAGATGTAAGGAAAACTTAAGAATAGCGATTGTCAACGCGCTTGAGACCGTCAAGGACATAATTATTAAAACTGATGATAGGATTCTTTAACGAACATGAAAGCAAACAAATTACCATATCGCAATTCATACTAGACAAACATCCTGGCTTATTATGGACGTAGAGGAAATTCGTATATGGTAAAGGGCAAAAAGAGGACTTTAAACCTTATAGATGGAATAGGCATTGGCCTCCCTACCTCTGGCAGCCGTCAACTGTAGAAGAACCATCTCAGAGGCGCCCCTATGTGAAAGACGAGCTTGTTCGCTCAGCAATTGTTGCTTCTGCTCCTCTTGTTCCTGAACGAAAAGAAGCAGTTAGTTGCGCAGAAATCCATGTGTGCAGGTGTATACATTCAAAAATGTGAAATAACAGAAGTAAATGTTAAAAAGTAAAGAAAAGATTTGGATAATTTCTTAAGCATAGTTAAATGGGAATCAGCCACTAAAATATAAGCTCATAAAAATTCATCATAAATTAAAAATAATGGTAGATCCAATAGATTAAGGAGACACATATTGAGTACAGATTTGGGACTATCCTTAGGAGAAGAAGAATATTTATGTACATATCTCGGATATCCGAAGTTCAGTATACTAACGAGGCCTGCCAATATAAAAAAATATCAAAACAAATATAAGTGGAAATGGACACATTCAGATGGCCAAGTTTGCTACAGCGTAAAACTGTTGGCGAATCAACATTAAAATAAGAATCGCCCTTTGCCGTTTTAGTAACTCAAGGTTTGATAAAGGAGAAAAAAATGCCTTAATATATTATTGGGAGCTTGAATTCCCATATGATTTTTTGCAGTTTCTATTCCAACTCAGACTCACCCTTATGACCAGCCTCTCACTCTCTCTGGCATCGTCAGTGAGAGGCGCTCACTGACGATGCCGCAAGAATGTTTGGGAATGTACCAAATCAACGGTCTGATGCTGGAAATCACGAATACTATGTCAGAGGAAGCATGACTGGGTACGTTCAACAAAATCTACCTGAGGCTCTTCAGGGACCTGAGCTGCAAAAACAAGGTCAAGCAAACACTATTTTCAACTTGTTCATACGAATTAGGTGGGCCAAGCTAAAATGTGATAATGAGTATCTAGTAGCAATCAGGAATGGATATATAATAGAAATTCCAGGGGTCCTCAGCTTTGCTATTCTTGAAATCGATTAAATTTACTATCTAAGAACAAGATTTGGAGAATAGACAAAGTTCTTTATTAATAGCTGATTTAGAGATCAATGGATGAAGAATAAG